CAAATAAATATGGTTATAAATTATATGAGAATGCTATTGAAACTTTACTTTACCATTGAAGTGTTGAGTTTTAATTTTTCTCTAATTTATATTGAATTAAATATTTTGATTTATATATATATATATATTTAATATAATGTTATTAATTCTTTTGGAAAGTGGTTGTGACAGATTTAATTCTCGTGTAGACTATTTTTAATTTGTATAAAAGATACTAAAATTCTAAATTTATTTAAAGATGATTTAATATAATAATATTTATTAAACTTTAATTTTATATATCGGTCATACCAATTTTTATACTATTTAATAATTTTTATTAGATGATTTAATTTTAAAATTAACTATTAAATTAAAAGTTTATATACATTAAAGTAAAATATACATTTAAAATATAAAAAAAAATTCCTTATAGCATATTCATAAGTAACGTATGAATTGATTAATTAAAATTATATTTTATATTAACTTATTAACTTCGTAAGGTATTTGGTATTTTACATTTAAAATGATATTTGTTATGTTCCAAGTTTTTGTATTAGAGATGTTTATAAGGTATTTGATAAAATGCTATATTACTGAGAAATAATAAATTGTAGGGCTGAATCTGATGAAACAGTCATACAAAACAAATTTTCCTGTAAATTGCTAAAATAAAATTTTAATTAAAAATAATTAAAAAGATACCTAAATTATATTAATCGATAAATAAAAGTTTTCTTGAATATTGAGTGATTCAGAAGTAGCAAAAAGGTCAAGGTTGGATGAATGTCACTAATAAGTGGAGAGTGGAGTGGCATGAAATCACGCTACGCAAATGTCACGTGTCATTCCATCTGCAGCATCGTAGGTGTCAGTGTTGTATTTGATATATGACACGTGCCAAACTATTCTCACATGGTTACACCTTTTGCCCATGCCCTTGTTCGAGTGACAATTGCAACTCATGACCTTAAAAGGGTACGCCAAAACCTTATCACCTAAACCGTTTCCATTGTGTGTGTGTGTTGCATATTTCTTTGTCGCGTTTCGAGTGTAATGATGGAGATGAGCTGAGCTTGTATGAACATGGGTGCAATGCTCGTGTTTCATGATTCACAAATGTTTTTCGGTACTATTGGACACTTACCTTTTCAAAAATAACAAATGTGTCTAGCAAATTCATTAAACTCAAGTTTACCATTAGAAAAATAAAATATTTATGAAAATACTTTTATACCTGTGAATTATATTATTTTTATTTTAAAATTTCATTTTCTGTTTATATTTTTTATAATTTTACTTTTTATTAATATTTTTGTTAAATTTTTTTAATTTACAGTTTAGTTTTGAAATTTTTATCACTTAAATTTATAATTATTAATATATATTAAATATTAATATTTAATTAAAATATGATACTGTATAATAAAAATATCATTTTAAAATAAATTATATTTTAAAATTATTAATTTTATTAAATTCTTATATTTTAATACATAATATTAGTAGTTATAAGTTAAAATAATTAAAATATTTTTTAAAACAATTTTGTTATACATATAATTATTCTCAAAAATATAAAAAATTTATTTAATTATTAAATTTTATATTTAATATAAAATACCTTAGCTAATTTATTGAATTACACTTGAGTGAATATAACGAGTTGGACATGTTATTTTAATTTTTTATTATAAATAAGTTTAAGATTAATTCCTTAAATGTTTGTGAACACTAAAGTTAGATATCTCTCTAGAACTATAACACCCTCTTTTTCATTTAATTATTAATTGGTATATTGTTTAATATTATATAGTGTTACTAAAATTGTAATACCTTATATTTCTTTTCTCAATATATGATGAATTTTCATAAAAATTTAAATAATAAAGTAAATTTCTTTCAAAAACTCTCTAATGAGAAAGAACAATGAAATGATATAAGGTTCATAAAGTAAAATTTCACTAATTGATAAGTACTTTAGAAAAATAAAGATTCTAAAATTTTCATCTGTAACAACAAGAAATAGTAGTTTTACAACTGTTCCAAAAGAATGCTATAGAACTAAAAATATCTATTCATAACTTAAAATAACTAAGTCCTATAGCAGTTCTCATCCATCCATGTACTATGAGCCTGATACTACTCGTCTTGGTTTCCTAAAAATGTTGTGTAAGGGTGAGTCTCTATCCTATTATTCATACATAACACATATTCATCATATCACGATTAAAGAAAATATCATGGTATTACATATCACTGTGTCATATAAAGCAATTTCTCATCTCAACGCATAAACACATATTATATTCCACAGATTCACAATTTATTTTTCTTTTATCCACGCTTATCGTGTCTTGTGGCCACAGTTATCTGATGCCTCTATCTCGAGGTCTTACACATCTATATAAATAGTCGCTGAATGATCGAATGCAATACGGATACAACGCATGCAATAGATAGTCCCTTAGCAAAGGTAATAGTCAGGAGTCAAGTCAAGAAACGATTGTGCGGTCATGTGGTGCATTCGTATACAATATTCTGTGTACAACCCTGAATGTCACTCACCACCCTGTATTTTCCCAAGATATCCCATATCGTTTTCATCTTCTACCCCAGTGTATCTCTGTAACTATTTATATCATATCCTTTTCCATCTCATACTCTTTTGAGCAAATTCATATGTTCACATATGTCATTTTTCATGTTCACACATATTTTTCATTATATTTCCACATACTTTTCATCATATACATCAAACCATGGCATATTCATAATACACATCATTTTTTTACATGAACCACAATATATTTAAACATGAAGCATCCATCTATTTGTATATTTCATATCATAAAATCACAAAATCATATCAACCATCCTCAATATACCTCGTCATACACTGTTTAAACATAATAACACATTTTCACCATATATTCATCATAAAATCATATAAACAACTAATTATTCTCACTTTTCACCGATTATTTTTCACAAAACAAGGATTATTCCACGTATAATCACATATATGGCAAGATCTATGAGAATACAAGTAATAAACATAACAAAATGATAAAGTAGAGCCTCCTTACCTTAAGAGAAGGATTTCTCAAAGGTTTAACAAAAAATTTTGCTCTAAAATCAAAGTTTATCCTAAAAATCATAAGATACCTATAAGAAATTTGAGATGAAGAGAAATGAACAGTAAATCTAGATTCAAACTTAGAGAAACTTAGTTTGAATCGCTTAGAATGAACGTACGATCCCAGATCTGAAGAGAAATCCAAGTTTAGGAGGTTGAAGATAAGAAAAAATGGTAGTATATGGCTTTGGGTCTCTCTAGAACTTTTGAAACTAGTGAAAAAGATGAAAATTTCATGCAAGGCCCCCTATTTATAGGCAAAATCTCGAAAAAAAAATTGGGTACTGTTCACATCGCCTTATTATTCATCACTGGAAACATTGTTCACACCGATTTACTGTTCCCGCCGGAATCACTGTTCATTGCTGAAATTACTGTTCATGACCGACTTATTGTTCACTTTTTTTTTTAATTTTATTTTATTTCAAACTCCATCTAAATCTATTCTAATCAAACTTAATATCACATAATTCTTTAATTAATACTTAAAAATACTGGTGTTACAGTTGGAATGTGTTTGGGAATGATTTATGGGTGTTTTGGTAGATGTCTGGTGCAGGAGATCTCACTCAATCGAGATAGGTCTCGCTTAAGTAAGACTGAGCGCCCAGAACCACAAGATTTCAGGGCATTCTTGCTCAAGTGAGATGAGTCTCGCTCAAGCGAGAATGGGATAAACTCAGTCCAACTATTACCTTGCCCAAGTAAGAGTGATCTCGCTCAGCAGAGATCTCACCCAGGCGAGATGAGTCACTCAGGCAAGGACTCACAGGAAAAACATTAACTATGGGACCAAAACATTAAAAAAAAAAAAATGTATAATTTGTAAATATATGTCAACTGTAGAAACCAAATATATTATTTTTTCCTATTTATTAAAACACATTTTGGTTAAAATATATTTTTAAAATCACAAAACTTGTAGTACTATCGCTAATATTATTATTAGCAAACATATCGACTTTTTAGTAATATCAACACTACATACAAATTAGCCATGTTCTGTCATATTTATAACATATGTTTATATGAGAGTTTTAGAAAAAAAATGAGCAAAGAACATATTTTTTTAATTTTAAATTAAAATAATTCTATATATCACTTATAATAATAAATACATGATTAATACATTAAGTTCATTTTAAGATATCAATTTATATCTTTTATTTTAAATAAATAATAATTTTAAATATATATTTTTAAAATATGAAATTTATCTTCTCTATTTCCCTACAAAACTCCTCTAAGACACCCCTAAGAAAACGCAATCAACCAGTAAAATCATTAACCATTTGAATTTTATGTTCGGTGCTTGTGGGTTTTTCAATATTATATTCTTGAATTAGGTTATGTACAGGTGCAATAATTTATAAAAATTACAACTTTTTGTTAATTGAAACCACAAAGCTTATAAATTAAAAACATCGAACCGCAATGTACAATTACACGTTTTATTCATAGATGAAAGGAAAAAAGATTAAGAAAGGAAATAGGAAGGTAAGAGAGACTATAATAAAGAAAAGAGACAATCGTTTTGTTCACAAGAAAAAGAGGAAATAAATAAAAGAAAATACTAAAATAAAACTCTGAAGTTATAGACAAATTTATCCAAATAATTTTAAAACATTTCTCTCCTCTACATCTCCCAAATTTTGGAGAACTAAAATCAATTGAAGAGGAATTTTAGTCCTCTCTTTTCCCTCGAGAATTTGAACCAAAAGTATAAATTTTATACCAAAAACTTGTATCCATGTTTTATGATATCATGCATAGATTAGATATATCATGACAAAATCTTCAGATAGCCTCTTCCCCCTCAAATCTAACTCATGATAAAACCAAACACTGTTAAAAGTGCATCATAACCCAAAGACAATACTGAGTCACAAACAAAACTTGTATTGGTACATGTCCAATATGTCTGCTATCAGCATACATAGTATCCTATTCTATACATGAACCATTGAATTTACAATGTGTCTGATGACATCAGAACCGTTGGGCAATTATACATCTAACTGCATACATGTAGATTGTGTCCTATACATGTCAAAGCCAAGAGGCCACATATTTAAAATCTACAACTTAGTAATTTATCTGGAACTGTCAAATTAAGCCACTAATCATGCCATCCCAGGCACTTCTAATGTAACCAGTTGACAAACATGGAGTATGGTTGATGCCAAAGAACATAGACTTGAGAATTCTTAGAGAAGAATTATGCAGCAGAAAAATGCCAAGTTTGACAGAAAGGCAATCCAAACACATTGCCTGAAGGGGGCACTTTCTGATAATGCCATGCCAGCTGACATCACAAGTTAGCTGTGCCTCACAGTGAAGGACAAAGAACTGAGCTTACACTGTTGAACACAACCTTTTTCCTCCTTGAAGAACATCAAGGCCCCTGTGATAAAATATAGCTTGTCATTGCAGGGACAAAGAATGCATCAAATTTCATCCAATTTTCAGGTAATTTTTTTCTTTTGCAACTATATGACTGTTTGTTTCCTTTTATAAAACATGGTTAAAAGTTGTACACTCAGTAGCTTCTGGTCGTGCTCAAAGGGTCATAATCATAGACGTCGCCAGCTTTGACAAACCGGCCCTTCACCCGCCTTCTCACATCAGCCCTTGCCTTGCGAGAGGCATACCTTACTTTTTTGTCAAACCTAACAAGGTAATTACAATTAATGTTAAATCAACTAAAGAGTGAACATGAACCTAATAAGATAATAACACTTGATGTTAAGTCAACTACAGAGAAAACATGCTTTTAAGTTTCAAAATAAAACGAACCTTGCAGTGGGAAAGAGTTGTTTAGTTTGTAGGAAAAAAAATAAAGATTGCAACTCAATAATAACAAATGGAGATCAGAACAAAGATAATGATCATGGCCGTCATTACATTCATCTTGACAATTGCCATTATTTAACCAACATCTTCCCCCACTTATGAAAAAAATATTAAATTGAGGTGTCTATGCGATGAATGAAAAATATGGGGGAAGAATAATTTAATTTAAACAGTATTATTGTAATCACTTACTTCCGTGTCTTCTTCTTTTCCTTATAACGCATGACAGCATTACTGCGGTTAGCAGATTGCAGGGAATTCTCAGGACAAGGTGTAAGCCAAGGAGGTTCTCCCATGAGAAGCATTGAAGAAGCGCCACAGTCTTGATAGTCTCCGGCGCTACTCTCTCCAGTAATGCCAGAAAAAGAGAGATTTGATTGGGCTTGCTTTCCAGTAAAACAAAGAATCGGTTCAGTTTTAGTACTCAAAATTGAATCTGCAGATGCTGCATTGCTGCAAGCTGGCTGCATTGTGTTGACCAGTCCAACTGATGACCCCTGGACATAAAGTTAGATCTGAAAATAAGTATGTCACGAAAGAAATGTTAAACAACCCCCCACAAAAGAAATTAAATTGCACTGTCCAGTACCACTAACACATTGTAAGCATGCATCACGCAGAACAGTGAACATCTTATTCTTATCACTTTAATGTAAACAAAATATATGTAGCACTTCAAATAAATATTATACATTCAAGGAGTGTGAATACACCAACATTTTACTTCATTTCTTTAACATTATGCAAATTACAGACAACCATAATGCAAATTATATCGTTCTGTCCATTACGCATGCATCACACTGAACAGTGAACATATCATTCTTAACACTTGATTGTAAATTGTAAAAAAGATATATGTTGCACTTTGAAAGTATTATACATTCAAGGAGTGAGGATACACCAACATTTTATGTTATTTCTTTAACATTATGCAAATTACAGAAACCAGTATATAACATCAGGACTTTGATTCTTATTATCAAGGACCAACCCTCCTAAACACTTAATCTATTAGGTGGAGGCTCATGAATGATTTTGATATCTAACACATCCCTCACCCAGAAGCCCTTTGGGATTGAAGCACGTCCTGAAATTCAACTTTTATATTGAAAAATGGGGGTAGCGTGATTTGAATTCTGGACCGCTTGGCCTGTTGGTCATAAATGCTTTGATGCCATGTCAGGGACCAAATCTCCTAAAAGCTTAAGCTATTACTGGAGATAGATGAATGTCTAAAAGTTTGCATTATCAGTTTAAACAATTTTCAGAAAAATCATATAGTTTACAACATTGTGACGATTGAAAGAGAGAATTGTTGAGAGAAATTTTGTATACGGGCTTCATATTTGATATCCTAGTTATACTTTATAATAGTCCAACGACGGAGTAATCAAGGGAGTAAATGAGTTAATTAGAAGTTAACAATTGACCTAATGATCAGTAGCTATCTAATAGCCCAATCACCAGCTAATTAACATAATTACAGTTGATCAAGTGCTAACATTGTAACATAAATGCTGGCCTTTTAGCAGTGAGCAAATTTTGATAAGTGAAATCATTCAATCAACCCTACCAGCCAATCTTCCTTCAACATGAAACCCTTAGCTATTTCACTGCTTAATTACATGAGATGTATATTTAAGAATTTTATCCAGAAAAATCCTGTCCCAGGAAGACTGAGGAAAAAAAAGAAAAGAAAGAAAAAAGTTTTAAGGACCTAACACTGGGCATATATCCACAATAATTGCCAATCTTTCATCACCATTTTCAGAAGACCTAAGAATTAGATCCATGCCTCAAGCATAAGCATAATATCAATATTATTCAAACACTCAAGAATTTCCCATGCAAAGGCCTAGATAATACTAGTCAGAAAAGATATTTTCCTTTCTCATTCATCTATCTCCATTATTACCATCACCACTCCACTTAAATTTGATTGAAGGGTACTTAATTCACAATAATGACTTGGAACAAAAGACAGAAAGCAGAGCAGCTCAACACTGTCCAACAGCTTCAATTTGCAAAGCTGTATATGTATAATGCATTCATATTACAACACATTGTAGACCAAAAAATTCACATTCCAATGCAAATAGCTTAGAGTTGAAATAAAATAGACAAGGCAAACAAGCATAATAAGTAATAACTGACCCAAATATTTTATTACTTTATTTATAAAAGAATAATATTATGAAAAAGGAAGGGAAAGTGAAGGTCAGAACCAAAGCTACATAAAACAAGGAAAAGTGACTTAAATTATTGATCAAATAATAGACCAAAGCAAACTGAAAAAACAAAGGGGCATGCTCAGAATGCAAATTGCCTAAAAATCCCTGTTGGGACTGAAAATAGTCCCTATTTCTAAATCTTTATGATAACGGTTAAAATATTCAGAAGAACCAGATGATCAAGGAGAAAATAAATGCACACTTGTGAATACACAAGAACATCATTGCATGAACTATACAGGACATAACATGTGATGCTCAATAGTACAAATTAAAAAATCCATGATTATCACAGACAAAGGATGATGAGAGTTTAGCACCTCAGCAGCAACAGCATCCTGACAATTGGAATCTCCAGCAGACATGTCCTTTGTTCCAAACAAGCTATCAATTCCACCATTTTCAAAAAGCTCTTCCGAATGACTAAGGGCCACACCAAAAAGCTCTTCATAGTTCTCAAGATTTAGATCCACTTCATCCATGTTGAAGTCATCATACAGATTCTCATCTTCACATAGTGCAGGACATTTTGTAGCCGGACAGCATAACTAGTGATGAAATATGAGATATTAGCAAAATAATATGAAGAAATTGTCAGAGTTTTAATATAGAAAACTAAAGTTGTGTGAAATCGTTTAAGTAAACAAGACATACATTGGCAAAATAATACATACAATAGCCTTTAAACTAAGCTATCTACTGATGATAGAAATATAACTTCAAACTACCATTAAATCAGGAAAGCTTAATTTTCAGCAAAACCAAAATATAAATTAAGCTTAGACCAAAAACCAATAAAACAAATGAAGCATTAAATAAAGCAATAGTTATATAGAAAATGAAAAAATCAAAAATCTTGAGAATTCAACCAAAGGAATTATGATTCAGTGAGAAATTTTGCTATTATTCTCTGGTTTCTATATACAAACAAAATTTTAAAACCATCAAATAAATTCTTTCCCTTTACTGTTGTTAGAAAATCCATCATTACACCTAGTGTTGGTGATGTGATTCATGATGACAATGATGATGATGATGATGATGATGATGATAACATCCAGTTATACCTTTGGCAGACATTCATTGGCAGGTCCAGCTGGCTGGTCCAGAATACGAGGTTCCAAGCTTGACTCAGGCATTGAAGATGGACAAACCAAAGACTTGTCCAAAGCAGGTAGATCAGTAACTTGATCAGAATCAGACAAATCCTGGTTTTCTGGAGGAACCCAACCACTTTTGTTGTTGTTTTCATTAATACTCATTAAGCCTAGCTCTTGCTCACATGTAGATTCACTCATATGAGGGATATCCAACACAAATGACCATATTGAAGACAGTTCCACCGCTGAAGGGCAGCCAGAGTAGCAATTGATTGCTTGTCTCTTATGTGTTGAAGAAGAGGCAGAGGTGCCATGAACTAACCAATCACAATTCTGACAAAGCGAAATTTTCTCCTCAGCACACCTTACAAAGGCAGGTTGTGAATTGCATCTCTCACATAAAAGGGTCCGCGAATGACGCCTAGAAAGAGCATTAGCAGAATGAACATTCCGATCACATGACAAACATAAGCATGCAGCATCAGAGCGGCAGTACACCATGGACCTCTGGTCTCCACAAAAGTCACATATATAACCCATCTTTAGAATCACTTTTCTCTTGTTCCTTAACCTAAATTAAGGAATCTCAACCTAGTAACAGTTGTTGCAAAACTACAATATCTTCTGACAACAGAAGTTCCTCTTCCTTATTTGAAGATGCAGAAGCTGAATTCTGTCATATAAGCATACATTGTTAGACAATGTTACAATGAAAACAGAACTTTCATGCTGTAAATTCCCAGCTACCAATAAACAAATAAGTTAGCATTTTAATTAGAGCTGAGAATTATGAAAAACAAAAATGGGAAGACTACAGCCAATTCTCAAGAATAGTATATAGATGCAACCGCAAGTAATTTATAGGACCAAGATTATGAAAAGTGGTAGCCAAGACCAAAAAATTATGAAACAGTTCAAAGCAATGAAACATATATGTATGCCTCCATGCATGATGTATATTTAGATTTAAAAGATTAAAAGAAAACAAAAATAAATCCTATAAACAAAAAAGAAAAGGAGAAATAATAAGCTAAAAACTCAAAAAACTATTTTTACATCAGCACGAAATTATACAAAAGCAAGTGATTCTTTCAAAACAATAATTAAAAAAAAAAAAAACAACTGAGACAACATTACCTAATAATAACTGCTAAGAATAATTGCCAAAGCGACTTCAGATTTGAAAGTAAAAAACATTGCATACCTAAAATAAAAGTTACATAGCAAAATTACCTTTTCATTTCATCTCTAAACAAGGCCATTCCCATCAGTATAATCAACAACAATCGAATTCAAAGAATAAAAAATTATGGGATAAATTATAAGTGGTAGATCAATTATAAATAACCAAAAATAAACATCACTAACCCAGAATCATATACCCCACAAAGACTACAACTAAAAAAGCAAGAGAAACAAAGACAACAAGAATAACACATCTAATCCAATCACCACTTTCTTAAAATTCTGTCATAAGCACCCACAAAAAGTATCATGCCCAGAAAACACGAACTTCAAAATATATATATATATATATAAAGAAATTAAAAAGAAAAAATAACACAAAACAACTAAAAAAACGTGCGTTTTCATGAAAGATAAGAAAGCACTAGGCAAGAAAATTACCTTACGGCAAGGAAGGCAGAGAACAAGATCGGTAAGCAAAAGGGCTTTGCTTTTTCAGAAAAAAATATATGTAAATATTAAATAATCAATTTTTTATGGAAAACTTGAAAGCAAAGAACCCTAGGGAAGCAGCTGAACTTTTTCCAAGAGAACAACAGAGACACAGTGACTTTGCTCCTCTTTCTCGCTCTTACTTTTTTTTTTTTTTAATTTTTGTTTGTTTTCTCTCTCCTCTGTTCTGTTCTGCTCTGTTCTGTTCTGTTTAGAAGTTGCGATAGAAAGGAATAGGAAGATAGAAGGTAGATAGAGAGATGTGTGTAGATGAGATATGAGAAGAAGAATAATGCAAATGGTGTTCATAGAGGTAATGTGACATGAGCAAAGCTGATAAAAAGTGCAAACAAAAGAGTAAAAATATATAATGCAAGTGGGACCATGTCCTTTTCTTAGTGAAAGGAAAAGGTTAGGGCTTTCCTTTTTCTTGGTCTCTCACATGACAAAATATAATAATAATATAATAATAATATCATAATTGTAATATTCCCACTTTTTTCTTTTTCTGTGTTCCTGTGATTGTACAGTGACATTCTTGCTTTTGTTTTCTCAAGGAGTTCCTAATTACTATGTGAAGAATAATATTTAAGAAAATAAATTATATTTTTAAATATTTATATTGAAATATATTAAAAAAAAATAAAATTTGTTAACGAATCTGTTAAGAATTTGTTTGGTTAACATAATAATGTAAGTATTGATAGAATATGAGTGTTAGATAAAAAATATAATAAATAAAAATAAAATATATTGTATTATCTTATTATTAATTTAAATCTTCTTATAATTTATGCTTAAAAAATAGAATAAACATATATTATATTCTATTAATTGAATAAATATCTAAAATAAAATGAATATTTTATTCTATTTTATTATCTTATTTATTAAACATATTTTAAAGAAACTGATTATTATTTATTTTTCATTATTTTTCGTTTGATTATTATATTTGCATTACATAATAAAATTGTAGTCGTTGATGGTTAATGCCTATTGTGTATTGCATATGTAAAACGTGAATTTAATTTTTTTTAAAAATAAATGTTGTACTAATAATACTTTTACGTGACAAAAATCCCTTCAGACAAATAATGTCTTTATATATTTTAGTAAATAATTTTAAAAATATAAATTTTTAATAAAAAAAAAGGCCTTTTTTGTTATCCCTTTTTATTTACTAATTGTTTTTTGTTTTATTTTCTGAGTAGGTCTTTTCAGGTTCCGGCGGCAAGTCATCCATGGATTTGACAGTGGATAGTTGGTTTCCTGCCCCCAAAGCAATAACTTGCCAAATTATTATTTAATAATTATGTTTTATTATCTACTGCTTACTTTAATTAACATAATTTTTTTGAATTTTAAATGAGTGAAATTTAAAAGTCTAAATCACATGAAGTATTCGTAAATTATTTGAATTTTAAATGAGTGAAATTGTTCGCGAATTATTTGAATTTATTTATTTAATTGAATATATAAGTTTAAATTTAATTCTAAGCTCAATTTTATTTAGTTGATATTAATAAATTGTGAATAACTTGTAAATATATGTATATTTAAATAATTATAAATTTATTTATTGATTTATTTGAAAATTATATTTTTTATCATTATTATTATATGTGTATTAGAGCTTTATGCAAATAATACTTTTTATTTTTTATTTTAAATATTTTTGTGTAAATAAAATTATTTTATTCTATTAGCATAAAATATTTATTAAATACTAAATCAATAAAAAATTATTAAAAGTTATAAACGAAATTAATTATAAACAAGCTAATGAGGTAAAACTAAATTTTAAAATTGTTAAATTTTTAATTTAATTACCACTGTTTGTATTTTTGAAAATATAACTACACTAAATTTCAGTGAATAAAAACTCTAATATCTATAATATAAAATTCACACACTTAAATATGATAGAAAAATTTATTATTAAAAAAATTTTATGTAAGAACTCAAACTAGATTACTTGTTACTCAAATTAACCTCTATTAATAAATTAGTCTATTATCTGGTATTAAATTCATAACTTTTCAACATAAATTTAATATATGTTGATTTTAATTAAAAATATATAATTTTAAAGTTTTCAGTTTTCTTAACAAGCTATTAAGAGTTTGAAAAAAAAAACAATTAATTGTAAAACACGCACTCAGCATTATATTTAAAAAAATCTCTTAAACAATAAGGTAAAAAAAAAACATGATACTATCCAACAAATAAATAAAATAAAATAAAATAAAGTATGATGAATAAATAATAGACGCACCCATTAACTACTAACAAAACTCTTGTGTGGTCAATTTATATAATATTATTGTATAGGTTCTGATTATCCCATGTATCATGCACGTTTTCCTTTTTATTTTCATTATATAAAATGTTTTATATTGAAAAAATAGACTTACACATCAAATCTAATGGTCGGTTTCACGGTGATTATTAATTAATTTTATATAAAATCTGGAGCATTATTTGATCTAATCCAAAGTCTTCACGACTCAATTATTTTCTCAATTCCCCTTATCATTTATTATTAAAATAAATTTTAATATTTCGATTATAAAATTAAACAGGTCCTGTTTATTTTCTAGGTTTCACACCTTTCATTAAACGTCTACTTATATTACGCATATTATTAAAATAAAATTTTAAAATTATAATATTGTAACTAATTTTGTTTAAAATAAGAATACTCACGTGAAGTAGTTGCTTGATCTACTTTCGTACAAATTGCCCTCTACGACGAAGATTTATGCCTTGGAGCATTTTCTTTACACGTTTGCCTTAACGTATTTTCTATTTGAGGCACTTGAAAGGCATGTTTACCAACAAAACTCCACCATTCATTTTTAACACGTGTTTGCGGCTAACAAATAATATTATTAAATTAATATTTCGATAAACAGTGATGAGTGATGACTCACTCCTATTCTCTTATTCATGCCAATATATAAATTCTCTTTCTACGTATTATTATTTTACTAAAATTCATCTAAATCTTTTATAATTCAAAACTGAATTGTTGACTATCCATTCAACAGTTGCAATTGAATGACCGTCCCAAATTGTTGGCACCTAATCCGGCTCTATCCGGTCCACTGATTAACGATAGTCTCCGATAATAGTCAACTTTCTCAATAATTTTAACTTTAATTTAAAAATATTAAAAAATATATTCATGTCTGAACAGCAAGCAAAAAAGAAAATAAATAATATTAACCATATATTTTTTAACACATTTTTTATAACACTTTTTAATGTTAAAATTTATCAAAAATTATGAAAATCACATATGTTTCACTCTTTTTAAATTTTAAATTGATAATTTTTTATATATTTTTAATATTTAATTAATTTTAGTCAATAATAAAAAAATATGTTATTAATATTTTTAGTAAAATGAATTCGATTTAAATAATATATACTTAATATTTTTATATAAGATTTAAACTTTGTATATAAAAATTAAATTATTATTAAAACAACTAGCTTTATTATTGTGTAAGTCCTTCTACCTCAAGTGAAATTATTATTTTTACATAATACACGTAATTTAAATAAATAATAATAATTCTGTTACTTAAATTAAATGAAATGGGGAGTGGCATTAATTTGTAAATAGCATGTAATAGAAGAGGCTTTTGGTGAATTCACGGAAAAGTAACACCTTTTGTGACGGTGGGGTTGGATCTCACACGTCTTATCATTGTCGATTGAGTGGGCATTGTATGAATTTTAAATTAGCATTAAGTTCCAAAAATACCTTATCTGTACAAACAGTGTCTTAGGTTGGTTTTTTTTTTTTTTTTACTTTTTTTTGTCCTAATCGTGCTCTATCCACTACGTCCAACTCCAATTGCCACTTGTTGCCCACTGCTTTCCATTAGCTGTCGCTTCATTCATTTCCAAGCAGCAGTTTCTATATTTATTTATATATATATTTGCAGTAACTTAGATTTGATAAAATGATTGCATCTGCTGATATTATTTGAATACTGTAATTTAAAAAAAAACATGTTTCGTGTATATTTTTCGAAATATATAAAAATAAAAATAAATAATAAAATAAAAAATTTTAATTTTAATGATTAAGTTAATAAAATATATTAAAATATTTAGTATACTTTTTTATTTTAATATAATAATTTTAAACAGTATTATTATAACCTAATGAGATTAGAAATATTATTATAAAGAGAGAATGTGAATTAATTTTTAAGTATTAAAATCATTTTATTTTTCACTTGATAAAGTAATGGTGACTTTAATTTTTTTTTTTAGTTTTATTCGTGCATCTTATAAGTAAATTTATAATTAAATTTGTTCATATTTTCAACATAATTATGATGGATTATTTATTTTATAAACAAAACTCAAATGTAGTTATTTAGCACCAGTCTTTAGTTAAAAGTAAAATTTTATCTCAATAACTGATATAATAAAGGTTGATACTAATTTTCAAGATTAAATTTTAATTTTAATTAAAAATATAAAAAATATTTAAGGTATTACAGTCTCTTAAATAATCTCTCAAAAATATCAAAGTAACTATTTTTTTTTTTACCAAACTTTCAAGCATCAATTTCTTGTAATAATTTTTACAATCACATTGATTTATAGTTATAATATTTAAAGATAGTAAATCACTTTTTTTAATCTATTATGAATCATTATAACCTTCGTAACTTATTTTAATAATGACTTTTATTTTTGTTTTTATACATGATATTTTATTTTTCATTTTAATTTTTTAATAAACATATTTTTTTTATTGTTGTCTCTATGTAAAACATTCCTTTGTTTTGATCTCAATAATTTAATTTTATTTTTTGTATAACGACTAAAATGAAAAAATAAGGATTATAATAAAAAAAAATGAAAACAATATTTAAATACAAAATAACGAGATTATATGAATGTTAACCAGAGGGAAGATTTTAAAAATATTTTTTTATTTAAGAATTTATTTATAAATTATTTTGTATAGAAACCAAATTGTAAAAATAAGTTTTGTACATTTAAGCATGTGGCACCCTCCTTTTTTTACTCATTTATCATAATTAGTGTAAATTTGATTGTAATTGAGTGATTACACTAAAAACAGAAATTTTTATCTTAAAAAATTATTCGTAACGATAAATTAAAGGCATAATAAATGTTTAAAATTAGTTTGAGAGAGTTTTAGATATATTTTTTTTTTGCTATATTAAGGGGCTAAAAGCCCAACAGAAAGATATTACACAGGAAATTTATGAAATCCTATACCCAATAAATCATGCGAAAGAAAAGGGGAATGA